AAAAAAAAAAAAAAAACAGAATGAAGCAGTTAACTCATGAAGCAATATCTTTCTTGTAAGCTATTAGCGGAAAAACTGAGCCCAACGACCAGCAGACACAGATATAACACAACCCGACAGACACAACTCTACAGACACAGATATAACACAACCCGAATAGTTAGGAACAGAAGACGAGAAGAGCTCAGGTGATACCGTACGCCATCAAACAGAAACGTCGGTACCAGAAGAGGTTAGCTGACTGTTGCAGTCATTGACGAACTGTTGCCAGAAGAAAGATTGGAATTTTCTAATAAGTAAGAAAAATAAAAAAATGAAGGTCTTTTCTTGCAGTTTTTGTGGACAAAACACAAAAAATTGCAAGAAAAGACTTTCATTTTTTTATTGGTGGTGGTAAATGCTGTGAGAAGGAATAAATGTTTTAATATTACTGCAGTTAAAAGTCAAATCAGAGAGCAATAAGACAACAGCTGAGTACAAGTAGTAGGATCTTGTAGCTCAACCAAAATCACGAACTGTAATCTTTTTTCAGTCTATTCTGACTCTTCAAAATTAATGTATCGGTGTAATATAGCTTTTAATCTCAGAATTACAAAAAAAAGCCAAAAAAAGTCACGAAAAAAAATTAACAAGAACTATAAGAAAAAATAATTGAAGAGTGAAACCGTAAAGAATTAAATAAAAGTAAAAACGTCATTCTGTAAAGCAGGCTTTTTTTGTTGTTCAGAACACAGAATTCTATGTAAAACCAAGCAGACCTTCTTTTCTTTTCTTTTTGTTTTTTGAAGATTAAAAGAAAAGCAAAACATTGTCAGAACTATTCGGTAAACAAGATTGTGAGAACGAACGAGAGGTTTTAATAAAAACAAGCGTTGATATTAACGAACCATAAATTAAAGAACCAAAGATGAGATATAAGAGCAAAAAAAAAAAAACCGTTTAACATAAGTGATATTAAGTAACAAAAATCTTTTAAAAAAAAGCTTTCCATTTTTGTCCTTCAATGATAATAACAAAAAAAAGAAGCAAAAATAAAACTATTTTGTAGCACAGTTTTTATAACTTTTCTATGCCGCAACCTAAAAGTTAATCAAAGTATTGATAGCTGAAAAAAAACTATTGAAAACCGGCAAACAGTTGAATCAGATTCTGTTCACGAAGGTGTTGTTGCTGTTGCTTTGATACAATTAAAATTGCCATAATAGCTACAGCAGTAGAATTTGATAAAGTGGTTGATTCCAGACAAAAAGAAAGAAGTTTAAATGAACATAATAGATAATCGTTTTGACGATCATTTTAAAGTGCAAAGTTCATTTACTTATTTATTTCTCTACTTTTTTCTGCAAAATCTCCAATATTTTTTTTGAACCCCGATTTTGCACCCAACTGTTTGATTATGATTATGTCCGCATTCTTTTTTTTTTATTTTTGTCTGCATAACTGGAAAAACAGACAGAAAATATAGCCGCAGAGAACAGCAGCAGTTCACATTTTGATGGTTCAGTAAACCAACTCGCGTCAACCTTGCTTTTATTCCTTTTTCCTCCCTTCCCTTCCCCGTGACTTTTTGCAACGATCATTCAGCGTCTTCTTCGATATACCAAATTCTGTTTTTTGAAGTTTATTTGAATTTACATAACTGAATAGAAGTTGAGATACAGTCATATAAGGGAATATAGCCAATAATTAATCAGTAAAATGGCCAACGTTACAAGCTTGATTATGGTCAACCTGATAAAGAAGTTTATGATCAACCTTTGTATAGCGCTCAATATTGTTGATGAGCCGACAATAACGACACTGTAATCAAAAGCAAAAAGCAAAAAGCAAAAACAAGAAACAGTTTCTTACGTAATCAAACAGTGGTTACTTTGAGGGCTGTTTCTGAAAAGATGATTTTTTGTTGATAGATGCCGTTGATGCATGCCCTTGCAGTATGTTACCGGCAACAGAAGCTTAGTTGAGGAAAGCCAAATCCAAAAAGATTAAAAACGTCCCTTAATATCAAGTTGCAATCATTTATCATACACATAATTCTGTATACGACGTGTTCATTCTGTATGTAGCTAAAAGCAAAAAAATTTTAGCTTATTTTTTTTTCCATCTGCAAAAAAATCTCACCCAGCTAATTGGCATTTTTATTTAAAAAAAACTGTTTTTTCCCCTTCCTCTTCTTCTTCTCCTTAATTTTTCTCTTTTCTAATTTTGTTTTCAATATTATTTCTTTTGTTCTTCCATCTTCTTTTTTTTTCCAACTCGTCTTTTTCTCACATATCTTAATTTTCACTTTCTTAAATTTTCTTTCATTGCTTTACCTTTGCTAACGACTAATGCAGACAAATAGCCAAAAATAAATAAATAAAAATAAAAAATAGGAAAAAAAAGGAAACGAAAAAAGATGACATTTATCAAAAAAAGGTAATATTAAAAGCATCAACATTTAGGCATCCACTCGAACCAAACTGTTCAAAGAGGCGACAATGTTGCAACCAAAACAACAAAATAAGACTTGAACAGAGCCAAAAAAAAGAGACAAATGAAAATTAATGTACATTAAAATAAAAATTGAATTTAACAAAGAGAAAGTAATTTAAAAAGCAAACAAACAAATACTACCAAACAAAACGTATAATTTTCAGTGAAAAGTAAATACAACTAATTGCAAAGGTGGTGAGCCACAACTGACATTGAAAAAAAGTACCCAAGACATTAGAAAAAAAATTGGAAAAAAAGTGGGTAATGAGGGAAAATTTGCCAAACAAAAATCGGCAGATAAGTTATTGACCTTTAAATTGAACAAAGAGGAGACAAAAAATGTCTCTTGCATCATTTCCTCTTCCCCTTCACTTCTTCTCCTTCCAATTTGAACTGTTTTGGGCAGAGTAAAAAAAAGAAAAGCACAAAAAAAGTAATTCGAAGAAATTGAATGAAAAAGTTTTGAAGCTTAAAAAGCTATTGAATAGACTGCCGAAAAAATTCAGGAATAGCAACGAACAAAAAAAAAAACAACATCCCAAATATCAGCACAAGGAAGCCATCCAGAGAAAGGGACTGCAATTGTTAAAAATACCATTTTTCTTCCCCCTTAAATATTATTTTGAAATACTGAAACAATTTCCAATTCCAGAAGATCTTTGAGAATACATAGGCGCATAGAAGATCAACAGCTACAACCAATTCATGTAGGAAAACCGCGGTAAAGGTAAAGCACCGAGGTATGTATGCGAGTGTGTGTGTGTGTGTGTGTGTGTTTGTGTGTGTGTGTGTGTCTATGTGAATGTATGTGTTTGCATGAACGTTCGGCAGTGACTCGGCCAAACAGCCCGTCTAACATCGTCATCAGATGTTTTTTAAAAACGATCATAACAAACAGAAGAGAACAGCATTGGCAGCAACAGCAACAACAGCAGCAGCGGCAACACCATCCCAACAAGACCACTGTTTGCC